AGGCAGAGTAGGAACTTGCCTAGGGTGGCAAATTTAAGAAACATTGAAGGAAATTGTCAAGAAAAAAACTGCTGAATTATGTTTTTATTTAATTTTGCCTTCCATACCAGACTGAGATACCAATCAAGAGCACTGAGCGATCATGTGATTAATGATGCCACACCAGATTGAGATACCAATCAAGAGCACTGAGCGATCATGTGATTAATGATGCCACACCAGATTGAGATACCAATCAAGAGCACCAGGCGATCATATGATTACTGATGCCACACCAGATTGAGATACCAATCAAGAGCACTGAGCGATCATGTGATTACTGATGCCACACCAGATTGAGATACCAATCAAGAGCACTGAGCGATCATGTGATTATTGATGCCACACCAGATTGAGATAGCAATCAAGAGCACTGAGCGATCATGTGATTACTGATGCCACACCAGATTGAGATACCAATCAAGAGCACTGAGCGATCATGTGATTACTGATGCCACACCAGACTGAGATATCAATCAAGAGCACTGAGCGATCATGTGATTACTGTTGTAACTAATACAAAAGCTTAATTTCTGGAGCAACCACATGGAGGTGGGGGCAGCAAAAAATATCTGCCTAGGGTGGCACTATACCCTAATAAGACCCTGGCTACACCTGTCTTTCTACATGTTAGATGCACAAACCACATGTTTTACAGAGATCTAATGACTGTGAGTTAAGTGAGCCCTTGAATTATCAAACGAATTGCTGTGTGTGTGTTATTCCATACACCAAATCAAGTGACCCAAAGTATTTGGGAAACTAAAAACACTGAACAATATGACTGATAAAGAAGTATACTTTCACTCTTACCTTTTCTGTCATTAGCTGTTTCAGAATGAATACCTAATTTGTTGCTGTAGAAGAACTGGTAGGTCATTGGAATGTCTTCGTCTTGAAAGCCTTTACACCTCACAGTGAACATAGTTTCTAGAGTCACCCCAGTTTCTGGTATGACGTTACAAGAACCAACCTTTGGTGGTGAGTTCATTGTTATCCTGTAATTTGCAGTACCAATCAAACCATTACCAGGATCTCCTGTATGTAGAAAATAAGATGTAATTTATTATGAATAGTCTGGCATAAATGATAACCAAAAATTGATTAGATATAAGTTTTTAATACATCATTTTGTGGATTTATAATTTGTTCTTTATTTATAATATTTCCCAAATGAATGGCATTAAAAGGTTTTCTATCTAAAATTACAGTTCTAACAACTTCGATGACAAGGAACCCACTTTGAGACTAATAATGGTTGGAGATGGATTGAATGGGTAATGAAGAAAAACTTTAATATAAGTTTTTCTTCATTACCCATTCAAGCCGTCTTCAACCATTATTAGTTCGAACAACATTTTCTAACACTCTTCATTTATGGTGTTTCACATGAAAACACTGCTGACTACTCTTAAAACATTCATATACCAAAAAACTTCATAAACCTTAAATGTACAATAAATTATGAGTTTATATCAAATCATGAAATCTAAGACACCTCTTCTCAAGAAGGAAAAATCAAAATGAAAAATAATACAGTTGTGAACAAATTTTATCAGTTAAAACGACCTTGATTAGCACAGTGAAAACAAAAAATTTATCATTTACAGTTTCCCATAGAGCTAGATATAGAGCTGTCTGTCTGTATGGTGTCACAAGTTGGCGTGAGGAACTGAATGAACTAATTTCAAAGAAATCTGGTAGAAAAACCCAGGTGTACCCCCATATATTAAGTTCAAATGGATAAGCAATCAGACAAATGGTTTAAGTTTGATAGGTATTTCAATATGAGGGTTCAACTGAGCAAAGTCTCTAGAAAAATACTTGAAGATTATGCCAAATAAAAATGATGTTTAACCGTACGTATAACATGGATGGTTTGTGTGCTAAGAGTCCAAACTGTGGAAGGGCAGGCTACATCTTCATTTATAATAATTACTTTTTAAGTTCAGTATTGATGGATGCCTTTGCTATAGTAAAATATAAGGCAAAATTCCAAGCTATGTGATTGGAGAGGATATTTTTTTCTTTGAAATTGAATTGTTACTTATTTCTGACAAAAAAAAAGGACTAGACTCAAAATATAACCAAAATATGATTCAAATTGATAACACTTATGCATTTTCTACAGTACATACAAATGTCGAATGTAGTGTTGAGTAATAAAGCAGACTAAATTTTAAAAAGTTCACCTCCTGAAATTGTAATTAAAGCATCACAATTATGAATTACAGGACCAAAACATTGTAGCACAGTTGGATATACAATTTTTACTTAGTAGTTTTTAATGACGAGTGTATAAAAAGTAGGATGTTAGATAAGATGTTATTAAATTAAATGTTATTCTCTGTAAAGTAACAGAATTTGTCTACCACATCTTTATTGTTAAAGTAATAAATATAGGTTTAAAAACACACATAAAGATTGATCTGAAATGGTTTTCGAATTTCGATACATGTTTCTTGCAATGAGTGGTTGAACCAATTATAACTAAATGTTATTTTATCCTATCGCATATAAGTCCATGCATTAAAACATTTCCTTGGATATATTACTAACAATAATTAGGGTACTCAAAACAGGTTAATATTTAGGTTTCTTATTTATATATCAAATAATTACAGTTACATAGAAAGCATTAAACCCTTAATTAAACAATCAAGGATGTTAAAGAGGTTTGTCTCTATATCAAAAAGAAAACTAACCTTGAACTGAAAAGATATAGGAGTCCCCGGGAATCAGTATGTTGCTGAACACCAGAATCTGATTAGAGTGACGGTCACTGTTTGTTTCTTCTGTCCAATTTAAATGTTTTTTTGCATTTCCACCTTCCATTGACCAAGTATAGAAAAGTCTTGTTTGTGAATCACAACTTGTACATAGTACTGACAGTCTGAGTGATTTATAGGCGAGTCCTTTTCTTTCACAGTTATCCAAACATCTAAGTTAAAATAATACACGTAATCACTTAATGAACAATAACTCATTGTAACTTCCTTAAGGGCCAACACTAAATTGTGATATTTTGTAAACATTATTCTTACAATTAATTATTTTTATAACTATGTAAATGTAAATATTGTGTATCTTTAGCTGTTATATAAATTTAATTGCAACATACTACATGTTTTTTATGTATTTTGGACATTAACTAATAACAAGAGAAAACACAAAAATTCTTAACTTAATACGCTGATCCATGACAATAAGGATTCTTGAAACTTTTCAATCATAGATTCACTAAACAATGAAATGAGAAAACACATATTTGTTTATCTAACACATTAACCCATGATATGAAAAAATTTAAAAAATCACCAATGTAGTAATTTCAGGATTAAGTCAGCACACAGTCACTTGATCTTCAAAAACTAAAGGTTTGAGGATTTAGTAGATGGAAGGATGATTGCAAGTGGTCTTGAACTTTAGAAAAATGGACTACTGTACTACTATAGGAGAATAAAATAAAAATGGACAACTGTACTACTATAGAAGAATAAAATAAAAATGGACTACTGTACTACTATAGGAGAACAAAATAAAAATGGACTACTGTACTACTGTAGGAGAACAAAATAAAAATGGACTACTGCGCGACTATAGGAGAACAGAAATAAAAATGGACTACTGCACGACTATAGGAGAACAGAAATAAAAATGGACTAATGTACTACTACAGGAGAACAAAATAAAAATGGACTACTGTACTACTATAGGAGAACAAAATAAAAATGGAATACTGTACTACTATAGGAGAACAGAAATAAAAATGGACTACTGCACGACTATAGGAGAACAGAAATAAAAATGGACTAATGTACTACTATAGGAGAACAAAATAAAAATGGACTACTGTACTACTATAGGAGAACAGAAATAAAAATGGACTACTGTACTACTATAGGAGAACAAAATAAAAATGGACTACTGTACTACTATAGGAGAACAAAATAAAAATGGACTACTGTACTACTATAGGAGAAGAAAATAAATATGGACTACTACACGACTATAGGAGAACAAAATAAAAATGGACTACTGTACTACTATAGGAGAACAAAATAAAAATGGACTACTGTACTACTGTAGGAAAACATGACTGCTAAAAGAAACATGCTCAATGGGCCAATTACCAGGCTGCAATATGGAAAAGGTGTCGGCATGAAGAAGGACCCAGAGACACTTAGCTCTATTTGGAGGGGCTGGAAATGGGAAAAACAGGATGGGAAAGTGCAGCTAGCAGTATAATAAATGGAAGAACAGCCACCTCCTCAGACTGTACTGAAGTTATTGGCCTGCAGCTGTCCCAGGAGCTGTAAACTGACAAGATGTGTCTTTTTTTGGCAAATGGCCTCAAGTGTTTTAAAATTGTGTATCAAAACAAAGTAGATTAAAGAAGCTTCAAATGGCAAACTGATAAAGATAATTCAACTCATGTGACTATCATAGTAGCTAGTTTTATTATCTTGACTTTACCAACAAAAAATGTATGGCAGGTGGATATAATGACCCTGTAGTAAAATTGCTAAAATCTAGCTACTGGAAAATTTGGAGGTTGGGTTGAAAATGGAGTGAAAATACAGAAATACCACTTATTTTCCATCTATACAGGGATTCAGACTTTGTCAAGTAAAAATCACAATATGTATTCATCTTCCTTCAGTAGTACTAACGGCCAAAATTTGGCATCTTGACTAATGGACTAATTATAATCCTTGCTGTTTTAATATACTTAAAACCTGATAGCATTTTTATAAATTTTACTTATCAAAAGGTTAAAAGTATTTTATTTCCCATTTATTAATGTTAAGATGCTACTTATAGTTTCACTGTGGAAAACTGCCGTAAGAAAGAAATGACGAAACCAGTATTAAAGAATCTAAAAGTGTAAAAGACAAGAAGGTGACTGAAAATATTTGTAATATATACTAGCTGAGTGAACCCATTAACATAACATATACCCTTTACATACTGTGTTCTAGGTCTTGGCCCCCTTTTTTGTATGAAAATGTTGTGTAACATTACCACACAACTGGTTCCACTGTGAAATTCTTTTAATAGAGACAACTAGGGTACAGTTACATACTTCAACCAAAGAATATTGTTCTTAAGGAAAGAAAAATACATTAAAATATTCAAGAGAATAAAGAAGATTAAAAACTGAAAACAGAAAATACAATCTGACATAATAACTGAACAGATACTGTTTATCAAACTAAATGTAAGAATAGGAGAAAAGGAAT